AAATTTAGTTTGAAAATTTTAATTAAAATTATTTTATTACATTTTTTTTAATATCTTGAAAAATGGTTTTAAATTTTTTTGTTTGAAAACTTTCTTCAATTTTTTTTTTTTTTTGTTATATGCATTTAAGGTCTTCTTTTAATTTTTTCTGTTTTCTTGGTCGTAAATAAAAGTTTGTGTGAAATTTTGCTAAAAATATTTATTCGGAAATTTTTATTGAAATTTTCTTTGCAAATTTTTTCTCAAAAATTTGATTTAAATATTTGTTTCAGAAGTTTGTTTTAAAACTTTGGGAACTTTGAAAAACTTTACAAGTATTCTATTTTTTAATTTTGTATCTTGTAGTTTTTTGTTGTAGTTGAAATTTTATGTGAATTTTTTATTTGTTCTAAAATTTTGTTTGCAATGTTCTTTGATAGATTTTTTTTATGTTGTTTCAACATGTTTTAAAGGTTTTTCCTGGTTCGTCGGAGTATTTGTTTGAAAAGTTTTATTTAAAACTTGGCTGCGAAATTTCATTTGATAACATAAATTTAAATTAAAAAATTTAAGCATAAATTTAAAATAAAAAATAATACTTTTAAAATAATGAATCTCTTCTAAAAACTCTTTTTCATTAATTTTAGTCTTTAAAACTTTAAAATTGTTAGTTGAAACATTTCAATAATTTTATCTATTTAAACATTTAGGACTGAATGTATGTGTTTTTTGTACATATTATATATGTACATGTGTTTGGAATATTGTGCGTTAAACTGAAACTGTGTCACTGATCGCCAGCTGTGCGCTCAGATGCGTTAATACGCCTAAAAGTGGACAACTTAATGCTCAGTTCGCAGCTAACAGTAATTGTTTGCGTACACTTTATATTTCTTGTGCACATATACATATGCGTATGCATATGGCTAGCATATACCGTAAACAGTGATACAATCATGTACATTTGTGTGTATGTGTACATTCTTACACCTCACTGATTTACTCTTTTGACACACCTCTCAATTAGTGTGCAAACACTAATAAACATATTCATATACATATATATATATATATATGTAAACAATCACTTTCATAGACACAAATTAAAATAAAACTGTGGTTTTCCATTATTTTCACTCTACTCGTAATTCACTGCGAACAATTAAGCCGACACATAAACAAATATATACTTTATTATGTTGACATTCAATATATAATATATTATATTATATTAAGAACTGTCACTCGATTCTTCCACGCATTTGTTTGCTGCAATTTTTGTGGTTAATCAAATTATATATATATTTTTTGCATATATTTTACGGTTTCCTTTTGTCAAGCATACATACATACTTAATTTTAAATCATTGGATTTTGTGGTTAAAAAATTCATTTCATGATTTAGTTTAATTGATTGTGTGAATTATGGCGGATAAATGGATTAAACTTCAAAAAGAAAAATCTATATTTTTTAATGGCAAACGCAAACATGCAAATTACAGTAAAACTTTTGAAAATAAATGTGTTTTATATGCAAATAGAGCTCAGTTTGAAAGAGAGTTCAAATGTGAAATATTTATGTACAGATAATTTTTTTTTAATATAAATATTAAAAATAACATTAAGCAGGTAAAAGACTAGATGGAAGAGCCTGAATGAAAATATTGAAAAAAGAAAAAAAAAATGTGGCTAAAAAAAAAAATTAAGAAAATATTTAACAAAAAATTTTGAAGTACAAAAAAATATAAATAAAAATAGTGAATGTAATAAAAATGTATATGTAAAAGTCCACGCAAGTGGTAAAAGTTCTATTGCCATTCAAGTCATTTAAATATGTTTCAAGCAGCCCACGACATGCGATCCTTGACCAAGTATTCTTATTGTCAAAATCATGCTAGACAATTTCAACGCCAAGTCGAAAGTAGGTTTGACGATTGCAACATGGGTGTGCTTAGAACAATCCATAAGAGAGAGGATCTCACTTTCCGTTCCAAATTATTATAGAATAAGTCTTCTCCAAAGAGCCCATCGTGATTGAGCTGATCCATGGGCCATATACTCGGCTTGTCCAAGGAAACTCTTTGTCTTTGTGACTCCTTGAACCATAAGCTGGAGCAAATTGGGAGCTGCTGAAATAAATAGAGAATTACGTTGTATATCATCCGCTTCAACAACAGGGAATTGTGCCTTCTCAAAGCTATAAGGAAGCGAAGGGAAATATCTTGTCATTACACAGACAGTCATCGCATTCCTGTCTTAACAACCACGTCACTGTTAGCAGTCTGAATATTGCGGTCGTAGATTATTACAGTTATTTCCGAAGCAGCAATTACACAAACAACGCAGTATCAATCTTGCCAACAGTTGTTACTTTCAACGAACCAAAATCTAACTTTCTCACCCGAGTCACTCATCATTCCCATCTTCCTACCTGACCCGGCGGCATGGTCAATTACAACAGCCGATAAATCGGAATTAAGAGGTTCCGAAGGAAAAGTTTTTCCAGACGATATAACGGTGAGATGTACAAGATATATGGCAACATAGTTATACTCTAGACAAAGTCATTACGTCCGAATGAAAGAGAGCCGTCCAGCTTAGAATGTACTCCCACTATAGAGAGCAAACGAATGGCACGCTGTTTTTTGCATAGCTGGAAGCTTGTAAGCGGTAAGCTAGTAGAGAAGAAAAAGAACTCCTTACCTTGGTCCACTATGAAAGCGCTCTCATCAGAAGAAAATAATAAGTTCTAGGTTTTGAGACTTGCTCTAAGGAACTCAGCAGCGTTTTTGGGAGCATTCAAGTTCAAAATTCACTTGCACTCTGTGAAATTCCTTTTGTCATACTTGCTGTACTCTTTAAATTCTCAAAAAGGCTTGTCTTCAGGGGTTCAGGTACAACGCAAACTGCAACACAGCTTGGCATCTTCTTTGGAAGTAGCTGGGCATTTTGGATACTGGAATCGCTGATCGCCGGTTGTGGTAGGAAATTGACGTATCCGAATATTTTTATAGTTTAAGCCAACTTAATACTTATAAATCAGTTGAAAACACATAGAAAACCCTTGTTATAGTTCAAATTCTGTAATTAATGTTGTTGTAATATTTTTTAAGCTATTTTGAATTATTATAAAATACCAACTCTTTTATTTGTAATTTATACTAGATTTCAACTTAACTCCTAAAGGTATGTTATATACTTCTTAAATATTAGATTGGTGTCACATTGCCTACATGTAGGCGCATCAAGAAAGAACTGAATTATTTTCTATTAAATTGCTTTTATTGTTTATAAAGTTTTTCATATAAAGCATTTAATTACATTTTTTAATAACACTGGCATAAATATATGTAAATAATAAAAGTAAATTTAATATTTATTTATTTAAAGAGAGATTAAAATTTAAAAGCAAATAAAATGTGATATAAAAGTAAGTTTTACTCTTAGCTGGATTACAAATAACAACTTTATCGCACAGCAGAATGTCTCTTGGCATTTCAGATGTGTCACGAATATTTTGTCATTTCTATTGCCCTTGTATGATTTTCATATCATTTTTGTATGCCAATTTATATTTTCCCCTTTTAAATTTAAATTATCACAGACTCCAAAGTATTTTTTACACGACTCTCTATGCAAAGTATTTGCTAAAGTAGTCACCTCAAAATTATTATGAGTAAGCAAAGCAAGCATAGTTTGTATTTACCGCTTATAATTTTTTAATAATCTGCAAAACTTCTGCCACCACTTAAACCTTAACCATCTTCAGAAATTTCAGCTGACCAAAGAAAACTTTCGCAAGGCAAGTTTGTCTTTAGCCGCTCGTTTTGAAAATTTTTCACTTTTATCTCTTACATTTTCATCATCTTACTACACCTAAAAGGCAGGAAAAACCATGGACTTTTTCTCGTACAAACGTGTCCTCATTTAACCCCCAATGAAAAGAGTTTTCTATGTGCAGAGATTGAAGAATGAAGAAAATTTGCTAAATATTTATTTAGGAAATGCAGCAGAAATGCTGCAGGTCTACGGTAAAACGTACAGGCCGAAGGCTAAACGGATGAAGGACTTGAGAAAGCAAAACACACAAAAAAACGCACTGAAAAAAATTCGTAGCATACCAAAAGGCGCACTAGCAAATGAATGAGGAATTAGGTAAAGGTGTGATGCGCGGGTGGCGGGTCGCAGCAGCAGACAGTCAACAAACTTTCTTGCGCCATTTGCTATGCAATTTGAATGTATTTAATTTCAAAATTAAAATAGAATTTGCATTCAAATTGAAATTGTCTATTTCAAACAAACGCAGAGTAAAAGGAAACAAAAAAAAACAAGGCGAAATAAAACTAAACAAAAACAGAAAAAACTAAGGAGCACGCGCCCTTTAAATGCTTGAAAAGATAGCAATAAAAGCGATATGAATGCATGAGAATTTCCTAACTGTAGGGCATAGTTGTTAGCAAAGATAAAGGATCAACTCGTAGGAATATTATGTAGAAGCATGGATGGTGTATTGTCAGACATAAAACCGAACATAAAAGGTCAGGCCGCCTTATGAAAATTGCAATTGCCTCAAGTTCAAGCAAAGCAAGGAATAGCACATTTATATGCCGGCGGCTATAATTTGCCATAAACAAATTGTAAAAGTTACAAACTCAACTCAGGCAAAGTGTGAGAGGTAGAGAAAAGAGCACACACATAATTTCATAAACTCCTTTTGCAATAAATAAATACAAAGCGCTCGCCTTCAGGCAAAGAACATCGTAGAGAAGTGAGTAGGGATGTGCACGTAAACCGCTTATAAATAATTATTTTTTTTTTCTTTTGCTCGCTATCTTTGCAATAACAATGAAGTAATGACCAATAGTTAGCAGTACTTTCGCTTCAAGTGCAGCTACGCACCCACACACACACACAGTCATACACTCACATACGCAGACAAATAAAACTCCGCATTGGAGCTCTTGCATGCGGCTTCAAGAAATTTTCTAGAAATCGATATACTATAGATAAGCAGCACATACCTAATTATTCAAGTTGCTAGTTAAAACCACGTTTACCTGAAAATACAAAGAAAAATGTTATTAATAAAAACTGGCATAAAGTTTATCTTCGATAAAAGGAAATTAAGAAGTTTGTAGTTGCATAAATGAAGTAATTAAGCTATTTTTCTTTGGCTTATCAATATTTCTTTTAAATATTTTTATTTTAAAATTATTGTGTTTAACTTAATTTACCAATTTCAATTTTGTATTCCATCATTTTTTTTTGAATTATTTTAAGCCCTTTCTATATTTCTAGTTTATTTTATATTTACTTTACTATATTTATTTTATATTTACTTTACTATAGTTATATATAATATATTTATTGCTTTGTAACCGCTGAAGCGATTTTCGGCTGAGCTCCTATTTTAATTTGTAGTTGTGCGTCCTGATGGTTTTCCAACCAATGGAGGGACCTACAGTTTATACTAAGCCGCCTCTGGACGGCCCATGGGTTTCTTATGTGCAGCTTTATTTCATGTCAGAAATACACACGGAGGGATTGACATTCCCTGTCGAGGAGGGTCGATTTGAACCCGAGCCTTCCGAATGACAGCACGCAATACTAACCACACGGCACCCGCAAGTGTGGATTTTAACTTTTTTTGGATGAATGTTTTAGATACTCCTAATTTTTTTTTAATTTTATTCTGTTTTCCTTTAATGGGCTTTCAAATTTTTTTTTAATTACAAAAAAATATTTTAATTCTTTTTTATTTTTTACTTCTTTTTTCTTATGTTTTTTATTTTTCTAAATTTTTTTATATTTGCTCTTTTCATTTTTTTTTATGTTTCTTAATTTTTTTTTTATTTCTATAATTTTTTTATTTTTTAATAATTTTTAATAATTTTTTAATAATTTTTTTTATCGATTTCTTTTTATGCTCTATTATTTTTTTCTTTTTATTATATTTAATTTTTGTTTTTTTAATTTTTTATTTCTTTATATCTGTATTTTTTATTTCTAATTTTTAAGATTTGGGAATTATTTTATTAAGTTTATTTTCTATTTTCCTTACTTTTTCTATTTTTTTCAATATTTTTTATTTAACATGTTCAATTTTCTTTTTTATTAATTTTTTTTATTTGTTTAAATGTTTTTTTAATGTTTTTCTAGTTTGACGTTATACTTGTAATTTCAATTTAATTTAAGTATCGAAACATTTTTGCACTTTTTATGAGTTTTACTTAACTATAAATATTGTTTATTCCATCAGTTCTTTCCATTTTAAAATATCGGTCATTATATCAATCAACGCTTTCCGAAATAACCAACGGCTTCAAAACATTTCAAAAATATATTAGTTTTTACCAACACCTTAATATATATTTAGTTCCCAAGCATCTTTCAAATTTCCTGTAATAATTTAATCGTTTGTTTTAAGAAATTTAAACAAAACAAAAACAGATCTGCACGTCGCCTGTGACTGACAACAAATCAAAAGCAAATTAAATAAATTTAAAATAATAATATTGCTCAACACAAGCAATAGAGCAAACAAACATGCATATGTGTGTATAGCCAAATATTGTATAATCACAAGATAAGTTCTATTCCGTATAAATTTTGAAGTGCAACAAAATCCAGCTTACACGTAAGAGCGTAACAATAACAGGATAAATATATACGAACCTGATAATAAATACATGCAAATATCGTAATGCCAATACAAATAAACACAGACAAGAAGGCACTCTAGCAGCATACAGCGTGTATATGTATGTATATATGTAACGACTTTCTACGAGTGTGTAGTAAGTATATATTAACAATTTAGTACAAAATTAAGTACAAGTGTGCACTATGCAAATAACATTGTATGCTCTTATGTTATTATCAGGTATACATATGAATGTACACAATACATATATACTCATTGTGTATTTATCTTGTAATTGGCGTAAGTGTGTACGTTTTACCTACTGCTTGTTATAATTAGTAATAAAAAGCATTTACATGTATTGCTTATTGGCGGCCGCGGTAGCCGAGTGGTTAGCATGGCGTACTGCCAATCGAAGGGCTCGGATTCAAATCCTGATGTCGTATTAGCATACAAAATTTATTTAAAATTAATTTAAATAAAAAATTAAGCTAAATTTTCTAATTGCAGTCGACCCTCTGCAGGGATGGAATGTCCACCCCTCCGTGTGTATTTCGGGCATGAAAGAAAGGCTCCTCGTTGAAAAACCATCAGCTGTTCGGAAGCGGCTTAGTATAGACTGTAGGTCCCTTCATTTATTTGAAAAATATTAAGACGCAAAATCACAAATTGTAATAGCAGCTCGGCCGAAATATCGCTTCAGCAGTTACATAGCGTCAATATACGTATATTGATATTATTGTCGCGCGAATAGAACTTAAGTGTTCGTGTATCCGTTTAAAAGACAACAATTATCAATAATTGCGACAAGATGTGTTTTGCATGCGTGTAGTAAACTTTCACACACATAAATAAGTAGCCTGCATGGAAAATGTATAGTAGTAGTATGCAAATATTCAATATCTTGAAGCTGAAATTACACCAGCTGGGTATTGGTATAGCAGTTCTTCAGTAAAGGGAATAATAATAATTTCGCCCAGCATATGGTGTAGGGCAAAGCTCCTTTCTCCGCTACGCTATGTTGCAGTGGCTACATCGCTACATCGTCGCGATAGCCGAGTGTTTACGAGAGTTTACGTTGTAGCTTATGTTTATGTCATCTTTATTTTTTTTAAATTTATAAATTTAATTATTTTTATTTTTTAATTTATTTTTATAATCTTTTAAATTATTTTATTTTTGTGTGTATTTATTTTATTTTATTTATTTTTTTCCAAAATAATTTTTTAGTAATTTTCTTATTTATCATTTTTTTTCTTATATTGATATATTTAATTTTTTCTCGCTGTTGTAAGTATTGAAATACGCAGCAGTAGTGGTAAAATTTAAGAATGTGTTTATTCAAGTAGATATTTTACAGGAGAGGGTATTTCTAATATGTTAAACCTTATATAGGACATTACTTATCTTAAAGTGTTATCTTTGCCGAATAGCGTTATTTACAAATTACTTAGATAGTATAGGAGTATTTCCAATATGTTTGGATTTGCCTGACGAACATAAATACATCTCATCACTCTCTTATTAAAATATATTTTTGTATATTATTTTATTTAAATTTATTTTTATTATTCATCATTTTTTATTTCATTTTTTGCCTTTTTATCTATTTATTTATATTTTTCTGATTTATTTTTTTATTTATTTTTTTATTAATTATTTATATTTTTTATTTTTTTTTTCATTTCTTTATTTTTTTAATTATTTTTTTTTCATTTCTTTATTTTTTTAATTATTTTTTTTAATTTATTATTATTTTTTTTATTTTTTGTTTTTTTTTTTAATATTTTGATTTTTTATTTTTTTTTTATTTTATATTTTTTTTTTATTTTTTTTTTTAATTTTTATTTATTATTACTTTATATTTAATTTTTAGTTTTTACCTTTCTATTTTTAGTTTTTATTATTTCTTTTAATTTTTATATATTTTGTTATTTCACTTTTAGTTTTTTATAATTTTATGTCATATTTTTATAATAATTATTTTTTCTTTCAATAAAACTGATTTTAGTCTATTTATTATGGTTTATTTTTTTATGGTTTTCTAAGAGAGGGTTCTAATAGTATTATTCGCGTCGTGCTCATCTGGGACTATATTCATTTTAAAGGTACTGTCTGTTTGCGTTATTTTCAGTAGATATCATTTGTTTTAGCGTGAACAACAATTTTTTTTTTCATTTGAAAGCCAAGAGACGTCGAATGCTACATGTCGGAAATGTTGTTTCTACGCCACCAAATGAAGTCATTTTTGCAACGGATTGTCACTGACGATGAAAAGTGGATTCATTATGATAACCCAAAGCGCAAGATATCGTATGTGAAGCCCGGTCAAACATCGACATCCAAGGCAAGCCGAATATACATGGTGCCTGGGTATTGCTACATATTTGGTGGGACCACAAGGGTGTGCTCTATTATGAGCCGTTGAAATCGGGTCAGACAATTGATTCGTTTGAAAAAGGCCATCGCGGAAACGAAACGACTAGAATATGCGACCAGACACGAATCAATAATTTTTCATCATGTCAACGCTCGGCCACATGTTGCAAGGTCAGTTAAAAACTATAGTCCAAAAGTAGTACCTTCTGATTACCACTTGTTCAGATCAATCAATGCAGAATGCCCTCACCGATTCTTTCTTGATCTCCAAGCCGGAGAAGTTCTGTTGGGATGAGGTTTACAAACTGCCAGAAAGGTGGGGGAAACATCGTAGCTTCCGATGGGCGATACTTTGAACATTAAATGTATAAACATTTTATAAAAATTAAGTGTTAATTTTCGAGAAAAAACGCACGAAATAATGCATACACCCAATATTAAAATTTATATATTTATTTTCTTATTATTAAAATTTATTTTTTTATAAATAAAATTTTTTTATTTTTTTTATTACTAAAATATATTTATTTTTATTTTTATTTAATGTCATTTTAAAAATTTAAATACAATTCTAACGACAGTTTAGACACAAGAAATACGCACAATTATATTTATTTTCGGATCGATAATCCCAACACCTTTAACCCGCCAAATAAGTTAAGAGGTAATAAACATGACAGGACCCTTTAATGTCAGCACTAAAAATAGCATGGTGTTACATACATACATACACACTTATGCATATTTTTGTGCATATACTTGCGTGTGAATGAAAAATTCCAACGGAATGTCGTCATAAAATTGCTTACGAAACCATAAAATACTGGAATGGAAAATATTTGAATGTAATAAAGAATATTTCAACAAGCGAATCTATCAAACCATTATAATTTTAATGGAACACTAATGGATTTTTATATACATGTATATAAATGCGTACATATATAAAGCGGGAAAAGAGTATAAATATTTCAGTGGAGGAACGCAAAGAGGAGTAGGTGGATAAAGAGCTATAATAAAAGTATTTGATGACGC